AGTCTTCATTTACTTATCTGTAAAATACATATAACTTTATTAACTACTGAATGACTCAAATAAGTGCATTTATATTGCTTAGCATTGTGTATGGTACACAGTGCATGCTTGATAAAAATTAACGATGATGATAAAAACAGGAGGAGGAGGAGGAAGAAAAGGGTTGTCAAATTCTTGAAGATGTTTACTTTTAGCAAGATTGGGCATAGAAAGAGGAGACAGCCCATGAGGAATTGAAAGCAGCAATCAGGACTGAAGGATAGAAAGTGGATTGTCTTACCACATCAGTCTCTGTGGTTTTCCCACAATCTAACTTGGAAATAGTGATGGACATAGAGCCCAAAGACTGGATACTATTTATGTTTGACTCTGGCACAGTCTCAGTTCCTAAGGTCCTGAGAGAGGGTGTGTTCAATGGTTTCTGGGTGTTGAAGTAGAAGGGTGGCCTCAGGCATGAATATGCCCCCATAGGTCACATGATGCAAAGAGATCAAGTAAGATGATTCCGCCAAAAAGCCAATGGATTGAATATGCAAATTTCATTGTTGAAATTAAAAAGGAAAAATTTGTTAGGTTATTGAGACAGATGCCAGGAAATAGTAGGTTTATGGGCAATTAGGTGAGGGTAAGATAGGTATATATATATATATATATATATATATATATATATATATATATATATATATATATATATAAAATGTGTGTGTGTGTGTGTGTGTGTGTGTGTGTGTGTGTGTGTGTGTATGGTGTAGGCTACTATAGATGCTGAGAGAGAGGAGAGAGAGCTGAACAAGGTGGCAATGGAACAATGGTTCAGCACTGGGCTCCAGGGGTACAGAAACACAACTGCAAGAGGAGATTATTCTCTGAGGCAAAAGAATTAAGAATGGGTGGAAACAAGGTTTTGAGCAAGAGTCTAAAATATGGAGACTAACCTGGGCAACAGTGGTGGGTTCTGGTCCCGTTAAGCTAAATTCCATAGTAGGAAACTGTGCCAGGACAGGCTGTCAGGCTGTGGATGCCTTCAGGACCAACTGCTTAAACCAAGAATGAGGAATCCTGAGTGTCTAGGCAGGGCTTCTCTGAAAAGGTTCTTTGTGCATGCATCAGTGGCCTCTGACACCCACCCAGGCGTTTGTATTTCAGAATCCATCAGCAGGGCCTGGTTCCATCCACTGTTGCAAGAAACACAGTGCATAACCAGCTGGCTGCAGAGTGGATCTGGGGTTTGGTGCCACTTTATCGGCTCCCAGAATTTTGAATCATGTGTGCCCTATCTCTTTTCTATGTGACAGATCTCTACCTTTTTTTTTAAATCACAAGTCTTGGCCACCCGGTGGTGAATAAACAGGAAGAACTGACTTTCAGAACCTTGTGTATGTCCTTTTCATCTTTTTTTTTTTGAAATCATGCCCTGTGAATGAACTGTTTCCTTATTGCACACGGATATCAAGTTATCTAATTTAACAAAAACCTGCATTAATTCAGGGACCACTATTTTCTTTTTCCTGATAGAAACAAACTTGAGTGTGCATATAAGCCATAGTTTGCCCTTGCCCACCCAGAGCTTGCTAGAATGCTCACTCCCAGGCTTCTCTACAGTAATTTGGTTTCTCCTTTCATCTCTGCACATAGTGTTCACTACCTTAAGGTTTGACCTCTGGACAACAGTCTTCAGACTCTACCCCCTGTAGTCCTTGGAGGCCCTATTCCTCCATGCAGTTTTGGTTTTCTTTGTTCTTGTAGTGCTTGTTCAGGCAGCATCAGCTAAGCATAACGATTTCTTGAAAGACAGCATGAGGGCATTTTGAGGGACTTGGACCTATGATCTGATAAGGGATCAATAGGAATGCTCTGTGGTGCTGGTGACCAATATGGATGTGGGTTCACTTTGTGAAATGGTATCCTCTCTTCCCAAAGCCAAGCAGCACATGTGTCTACTGCTGTCAGAGTAAGATGGGGTGGATGCACAGAAATGTGAAAGGAGGCCTTTACCTGAAGCACAATCCCTGCCCTAGAAATATCAAGGAAGCTGCACTGATGAAGTCTCAAAATCATGGCTGCCAAACAAGATCTGAAGAAGGACAACAGCAACACACATACTAACGGAAGGGGGAAGTCTCATGGGGCTCCAACCCTAGACCAAGAACTACAGGCAACTAAGGAATGCTGGGAGTACAAGAAAATAGCTTTCCTTGAAAAAAAAAAAGAGCCCCACAATTGGTTAGCCAATATAGGGTGGTAAGCCCTGAAAACACAAACTCTTCGAATGAACACATTTGCTCTTACAAAAAGAGGATCCGAAGTGGTAGTGGAGGGTAACTGTAGTATTCTACCAAGATGGAGCCTCATTGACTCTCTGTGGGATCACTGCATCACATGAATGGGCCTAGATCACGTCCTTAACAAGAGCGAGGGGGGCGCACACTGCTTGTGTAGGGCTGTTCTCCCAAACAGAAGTTCCTAGGCTATCAGACCATGTCTTTGCTATGAGAACCAGAGGGCAGAACGTTGAAGACCCAGTGAATGCTTCTAGGTTGAGTAGAACACCCCACAGTGGTCAAGCTCCAGCAGTCATTAGATAGCATTATTTGCAGGTAGATTATATAAACATAAGGATTTTTGTAAAGATTCATTAGCTAAGTTGTGTGGAATTTTCCAGTCCCTCTCCTCTGTCTTCATGTAAGGAATTATTGGGAGGATGATAATTTCAGATAGCTTGAATCTTAGTTTCGGTATCCCCACACCATGCTTCCTTAACTAAATCAAATGCAAACTTGAACCAAATCATGGTCACCATTCATTGTCTTCCCAACTGCTTCCATGCTTCCCACCTCTGTGATCTTGCTTCTGGGGACAAATCATGTCTGTGTGGCTGCCTGCACTATTGAATCTGTCATAACTTGAGTCCTGTGGCTCAGGATGAGCAAAGGATCCTTTGTGCTATTTTTCATCCTTGCTTTGGACACTCTACCCTCACTTCTGTCTCTCTCCTCCTGATATAGTGTATGGAGTATGGTGGATAGAGAATAGTACCAGTGTTTAAAATTCAGTGGTTTTTAAGCCATAGGGCCTTCAGTGTGCATTCCTACATGCAAGATGTAAAAACTCTGAAAAGCCTTTGGTCTGAAGATGGCATGGGACATTACTGCATATCCAGTGGCTTGGTGGTGTCACACAACTCAGTTACACAGTGTTAAGTGAAGCCTATGCCTTCCCTAGTTTTCTTCTGCTATTGTGAGGTAGCTTTCTGAATTTGCCTTAAAAGAGGGAGGGGGGAGGCAGAATCTTCTAAAGTTGCAGTCACAGCTGAGATGCCATGGAGAGATATGTGACCACAAGACTACACAAAGCAGCGCAAATAAAATTTGCAAGGTGATTAATAAGGAAAAGTGACCATTGTTCCTAATGAACCTCTTCTGAGACAAGGATGGTGCGATAGAAAGGCCTCTCAGCCTTCAAAGACACATGTCATAGCCAAAGCTTCACCTGTGGAGTCTGTTCTCCACGTGGAAAAGTGAGTCATCTCCAGTGATAGGATGGCCCAGTGACACAAGGCTTGGGATCTGGTCATCCTCTGACACGCAGACCAGTCCTAGTATGTTTTGTAATATATTAAGATATAGTAAGACTGCCAAGCCAACACCCAGCCTGCTCCACACTCATCAGCTTCCTCCATTTCAAAATATTTCCCATTGTCTCTACTCCCAGATATAAGAGGAAACTAGATTTTAAAAAGTCAGTGTCTATAGCTCCAAAGTATTCCTGAATCTACAGACCTGAACCCACTCTTCAGTATGAGCCACTATTTTTTCCATTTGTATAGTCCTCTACTTGAATAATTGCCATTCTCACTTGTCAGCACCCATGCTAGACTTGAAAGTCTGCTCAGAAGCCTCAGCCCACCTTGAGCTCCTTGAGAGAAGAAATGAGGCCTTTTCCTTCTTCCTATTTTGTGGTTTTGTCCTGCGGCCCCCACCATGGAGCACATGGACTAGTCTGAACCTGTCAGAGTTTGTTTACTATTCCTTCTAGGTATCCCAGAATTTTGAATCCGTTCCATCCTAGAACTAACACACCCAGAACCTTGGATCCTCTATAGTTGCATTGACACCTTGCAACAGCTGAGCTCTATGGGATGACATGATCTCCTGACCGAATAGACTGTTAATGAACATAACATAGTAATTAGATTCCTAACATTTGAGTGCATTAGTCAAGATATCTGTTGATTCTTCAGCTACTGAACTACTGAACTAGTGGAATTAACTGAACCTTAGCCTTCTTTAAAAGTTCATGGGTCAAGAATTCCTAGAAGTCTTCAGTGTTGTCTTTGTTCTGGTATAGAGAGAAGGTGAATTTTGTATCACTATGGCACTTTCTCTGATAAAATGAAACACCCTCACTCATGATTTTAGATAGTTTTCAGACAATGATGAAGTATGAGATAGGTTTCGTTTAAACTAGAGTACACCCATAGTAAAGGCTTTTCAACATAGCCCAATTTTCCTTTTATGTTCACTACCTAAATTCTAGTTCTGTCTCTCTAGTTCTAAACTCTAGTTCTGAATATGTCCAAAGCTTAACCTACTTGGTTCTCAGAAGACTCTCAGGCCTCTTTTAGGCTTTTAGGTAGCTACAGAAAGCAGATTACATTCAAAGGCAATCAAGCCCTAGGCTACATGTCCTGGGGCCACCCCTAAAAAAGAAATATCTTGCCCATACCAGTTCTATCTGTACCCACAGCCAGAAATTGATCTGGAAATGTGCCCAGGGCCTGGAGGACCTCAAAAGAGTCCCACCAAGCTTGACTACACCCATCAGGTTTGGCTGAGTGGGTGTGTTCTTTGTGGTGAGAGACACTGGAAAGGTACGTCAGGAAATATGTCATATTGTCATCACTATGACATTACAAGAATTACAGTCATAGCTTACCTCGTTATATAGGCGGACAACCACATCTTTTGGCTCAGTCTCGGCTTGTTGGGAAGCAGTCAGCTATGAGGCTCCATTATCTGCTATTTGCATTCCTCATCTTGCTCTTGGTCCCTGCTCCAGGTAAGATGGGTTGGGAAATAAGGGGTGGAAAGGGTTGAGACCGTGTAATTTAATCAGTTCTTCTCTGTTCCTGGTGAGCCTGAGATCAGGTGGATTAGTTAAGTGGAAACCAAACATTGCCAATGTTTCCTCCCGACAGCAATCATTAAAAGCATTAAGGCAGGCTTCCGAGTCTGCCCTATTCCACTCTTAAAAGACTAAACAGTGCCACAGATGCCAGCTCTCCACCCACCTCATCACAGGAACACTCTTAATGAGACATGAGAAAGTGGATGTGAAATTTTAATTCTGATGGAAATGAACAGTTTAGCCTGATACCCAAACCCACAGATATCTATTCTAAATGGACTTAGTGGCTGGAGGTAAAGAGACACACTAGGCTGCTTGAAAGGTACTAAGGACAATGGTGGTCCCCAATTCCTAGTTCTTAGAGCAGAGCTTAGAGACCAGGCTATTGTGTGCTCACAGCTGAGATGCAGCCCATAGAGACATTGTTTTCTGCTTAGACATCCTTTAACTTTACTTTTGATTTTATAAGAAAAGAGAAAAGAAACAGAAGTGAAAAGAAACTAATTCAGCAATGTCTAGTTTGCTGAATCCAATGTCTTTCTAACACTCTTTCTAAAATATTCTTTGATTTTTTTTCCCTTGTAGGGGATGGATTCATCGAGAAAACCCTCCGAAAGTTATTCTGCAGAGTAAGAGGCGGCCGGTGTGCTATGATCAGCTGCCTTACAACAGAAGAACAAATAGGTAAATGTTCTCAGAAAGGTCGAAAATGCTGCAGAAAGAAGAAATAGAAGATCCAGATTCAGGCTGAGGATGTCATCATTGGGGGGAATCCTCTTGGGGTTGTATAAAAGTAAATCAAGTTAATATATATATTTTTTTTCTTAAAAAAACTAGTAGTTTAATCCTTTTTAACATTTTGGTCATTGCCATCATAAACAAATACACAACTAAGGAAGTCATCAGACTCAGTTTGATTTGAATGAAGCAGCAACTCTGGAGTGGTCTACAAGATCCCCAAGCTTATTTTCCAAGGGCCCAAGGTTTGAGTATGTGTGTGAGTGTGTGTGTGTGTGTGTGTGTGTGTGTGTGTGTGTGTGTGTGTGTGTGTGTCTGTCTGTCTGTCTGTTTGTGAGTGTGTCTGTGTGTCTACGTGTATGTGTGTATGTGTCTGTGTGTGTCTCTGTGCATATAACATGTATATAAATATGTGTATGTATGGAATGTACATACACACATACATTTTATATTTTGTACATTCTATACTCCATTGGAAGTGGAGCTGTTGTCTCTTGAAATACCCCTTTGCGTCTTACTGTAGATATTTTGATCTTTCCAGCCTTCTCCTCAGGATTGCATTTTCCTGAATCTAAAACATTAGTTCACCCCAGAAGTCAACCTTAAACCCTTCTGAAAACTTTGCTCAGAGAAATGGGAACCTGGTTTTCTCTCTGCTTTCCCACTACTAGGGCCTTTACTATGCTGCTTCCTGCCTGATACACACTCCACCCACTCACTTCTTGACCCTAAAGTGGCCCTCAAGGAGCTGTCTCCTGGTCTCTTCTTCTTCAAAACAGAAAGCTTCCCAAATAGAAGCAGCTTTCCTTAGATGTGCCACAGGTTCTGACTCGAGTCCTCTATCTATGACTCTGTTGGTTTCTGATCTGTGGACATTCATGCATTGCCACTATCCACATTGGATTGCATGATTCTTTAGCAGCATGGCTTTTGTCTCCATTCCTGGACACTTAGTACCCTGACCATGGAACTGGTTAACAAGTGTAGTTTGAGTTGAAGGACATCCATATAGCTTACAGGTGCTTCATTTTGTCTGGTGTTCTCTAGATGTTGATACAAAGTGATTCCAGCACACCCAGTTAGAGGGATACACAGACAAGGTAACCAGGCTCCCAGTTAGAGCAGAAGAGCCATCCTGTTGCACAATTTATGGAACTCTTCTTCCATCCAAAGGATGATGGGAAAGGTTGTTTCCAGACACTAAACAACAACCAGTGCAGACTATGAGGGGTGGGGGGGAGAGTGAGGGAGGGAGGGAGAGAGAGAGAGAGAGAAGAAGAAGAAGAAGAAGGAGGAGGAGGAGGGGAAGGATGAGGAGGAGGAGGAGGAGGAGGAGGAAGGGATGGAGGAAGAAAGGAAGGAAGGAAGAAAGGAAGGTAGGTAAGCAGGCAAGTCCATGAACACAGCACTTACTAACGGGCAAATTTCTAAGCCAAGGCACAGGGAGGTGGAGTCACAAGACCACAAGACTCAGCAGCTTTAAGCCACTGCGACAATTCAAATAGTACAATACACCCCCCAATTCCCTTTGGATGTGGGAAAAGGAGGGTAGGGCCTCAGATGGAGACAGTGCTTAAGAACTGCACCAGAGAGATAGAGGGGACTTCAGTCCTGGGGTGATTAGCAACAAAAGGACACTTGGGACAAAACATCACATAGCCAGAGGAATATGAAAACATCAGAAAAGAACTGTGTGGACGTATCAGGAGTACATGGGCCTGGAAAATGGATTTCCACCAGCAACGTGGAGAGTGAGGTCCACCTTCATAAAGTAGCACCATGACACTGGTGAGCTCTCTGGCAAGGTTTCAGAAACGTTTTTGAAAGACCCACCTGAGAAAAACCTAAATCTGAGCCAGAATAAAGCCCAGCTTTCATTTAAAGGAGATGGTAGAATCCATCCTCAACCACTCAAGTGTTCCAGTGTGCTAGATGCCATAGAGATGACCAGACAGGCAGAGAAGCACAAGAATACAGTGCACTACTAGAAGTAAGGCCATGCAGTCAGATGAACCCAGTGAAGATGAGGATAGTAGAGTTAACCAGCAGAGGTATAAAAAGAGTCAGTTGCAAGCATCCCCAAGGCCCAGGGTAAAACTGTTCATGAGGAAAGAGATGAAGCATATAAAGGATTGAATGAAACTTCCAGAGATGAGTAGTAAGTATCTGAATAAAAATATGCTGAATTTTGGAAGGAGCTGTGACTCAGTTGGTAGAGTGATTATCTAGGGTGCATGAAGGCCTGGGTTCTATCCCCGGCACTGCATGAAACTAGGTGTGATGGCTCATGCTTGGAATCCTAGCACTTGGGAGGTGAGGGCAGGAGGTTCTGAAGATGAAAGTCATCCTTGGCTCCATGTCAAGCTTGAAGTCAGCATAGTTTATGAGATGTCTCAGGTCTGTACATGCTTCTGGCAAGCAGGGAAGTGATAAAGCCTGTGCATTTTCAGGGGACGTGGTCTGTGAGGGTTCCCCACAAGGTGGCAGTAGCCTGCAATCTGATTCCCAGCAAGTTCAGCCCTGCTCTCCATCCTCTCAAGAGACTGGAGGGATTGATGGCAGTGCCAAGTAAGGCTGGTGTTTGGTAGAGTACCCTTCTGGCTTTGTGTGGTAGAAAAATGTAGGTGTAAAGATATTGGGTGGGGACTTCGCGGCAAAGACTTGGAAAGCAGGTTGGTTTTGTTCTCCAGTGACAGCCCTGTCATTTAGCTAAGTGATCTTGGGTGTCTGTTAACTTTTCCAGGTTCTGGGGTTTTCATGTGTGAAATTGAGTCATTCTTCTCTGGCAGGTTTGTGAATGGGGATTAAATGAGATGACTCATGTGATCAAAACAGAGCCAACTATACATTTACAAAGCTCAGTGCTGAACAAAAATGCAGGGACCCGTGCAAAGACCAGGGACAAGAAGCTCTGTCGATAACAAGGAGATGAAGAGCTTTCTTCTTAAATAACACTTTATAATTTGTAAAATGTATTAAGAATAAGAGCTACAGGGGATTCATAGTAAGACTTGTAAATACTAAAAGACTATTCTAGTTGTTATAAATTTGGAAAACAATAATTTATTAGTGAAAGATATTGACTGGGTATTCGATTTTTCCAGCCAACAGTTTTACAAATTCATTTCTTAGATCATTTACACTGTGTAGGAGTGAAGGGTATTTTTTAGGCTATGGAAATATTGGGATAAGTTATTATAAAATAAAGATATTTCTATATTTAGAGATGTTGATTCTTTTTTAAAAGATTAATTTAAATTTTTTGAGAATTTGTAAGTACTATATTTATAACATTTCCATTTCTCCTTCTCCCTTTCCAACTCTTCCTGTGTCCTGTCCTCAAATTCATGACCCCTTCTTTAATTATTTTAGTATTCTATAACTATACACATATGTATATATAAATATAGCCTGCTGAGTTCATTTAATGTTGCTCATGTGTCTACGTGTTCTGAGCAAACCATTTGGAACTGAATAACCTAAGGGGACTGATCCCTGGCGAAGACTGGCTCTCCCTCTCTCAGTAGCCCTTGATGGCCTGTACCTCTTCACCCGAGGGTGGGCCCTTGTGAGATTTCCCCCAACCATGTTGAAACGTTGATTGGTAATGTCACTGCAGATCTTGTTTGGGGAATCATATTGTTAAGATTTCCTGAGTGCCAGCTTAGACTACTAGCATAGTGGAGAGAGGGTGCCTGAATTGCCCTAGTAATCATCAGATTGGTGAATGCCCTGTCATCACGGAGCCTTTCTCTAGTAACTGATGGAAGCAGGTGCAGAGATCCACAGCCAAACACCAGGCTGAGCTCTGGGAGTCCAGTCGAAGAAAGAGAAGAGGGATTCTATGAGCAAGGGGCATCAAGATCATGATGGGGAAACCTATGGAGACAACCAAACCAAACTAGTGGGAACTCATGAAATTTAGATCAACCTGTGGAACCTTCACATGACTGGACTAGGCCCTCTGCATAAGCGAGACAGTTGTGTAGCTTGATCTGCTTAAGGGCAACCCTGGCAGTAGGATCAGAATCTATCCCTGTGCACAAGCTCTTTTTGGAGCCCACTACCTATGGTGGGACATCTGGCACAGCCTGAGGCAGTGGGGAGGGGCTTGGACCTGCCTCTACTGAATGTACCAGGCTCTGCTGACTCCCCACAGGAAGCCTTACCTTGTTGTAGGAAAAAAATAGGGGGTGGTTTGGGGGGGAAGGCTGGAGGGATGGGAGGAGGGAAGAGGGGGATCTGGGACTGGTATGTAAAATGAATAAAAAATTTCTTAATTAAAAAAAAGATTTCCTGGGTGCAGCTTTCCTCTCACATACAGAAGATAAAATATTGTAGTTGATATCCTGCTCCTCTGGCTCTTTCAATCTTTCCTACCCTTTCTTTAGTGATGTTTCCTGAGCCTTAGGTGTAGGGATTATGTTGCAGATGTATCAGTTTGGTGTTCAAAAGTGGCACAGGTATTTTGAAGATAGTGATTCTTATAAAGATCCTAATGTTTAATTATTTAAATGTCTGTTTCATGTAGATTTTAATTTAATTTTACCTACTTCATTTTAAGATTTATTTACTTTTATTTTATATGCAAGTGTTTTGCCTACATTTCTGTCCATGCGCCATGTGCCCATGGAGGTGAGAGGAGTGGGTAGAATTTCCTAGAACTAGAGTTATGGATGGTTGCAAGCCACCATACTGGTTCTGGGAACCAAACCTGGGTCTTCTACAAGAGCAATATGTGCTCTTAATCACTGAGCCATCTCTTCAGCTCCTGAATTTAAGTGGAAATGCATATAATGGGGCTTTTAACATTTCTGCTTACGTTTTGTGTAGTTTAAGGTGGTGAACCCAGTTCTATACCTTATAGTTTATTCTACACTCTGTTGCTGCACTCAATTGCTGAATCTTCACTATGAAGGAAAAGTAAAAGTTAAAATCATCTTTCTTAGCTTTTTTGTTTTTTTTTTTAAGACAAGTTTATCTATGCATATCC